TTCCCTTTTGCATGATAAAATAACCCATGAAAATAAATAACAAGAGCTTAATGGGCACATGGGACAGGGCCTTTGGCAGCGATGCCAATCAGCTGTGCCTCGGCAGCAGTCCTCTAATTAAAAACTGCAAATTACAGTGGACTGGAGCGGATTGCAAGGGCTGGCTGGGTTGGGGGCTTTGCTCTGGGAGGTGAAGTGTGGCTGGTTGCTCCTTACATTCACGTTTTCTCTCCCATCAGGGTGGTGGAAAGCCAAGGACTGTGCTGTTGTGGTGCCTGCCCCAGCAGAGCAGTGGGGTTTGGGAAGGCCAAACCAGAAAGTGGAGCCAAGTGCATTAGCTGCTTCGTCGAGGGAGCTGCCCCACGTCACAGCCAGCTGAATAGGTGGAAATGCCAGCGCTGATGCACGATCCTCGAGTCACTGTCCTGCTTCAGCCCCGTGCAGAGAAGCGAGCGGCCGGTAAGTCCTGCCTGCATTTGAGGAGCAATTTGAGCCTTTCCCGTGCTTTGGGAATTTGTCATGTGCAGCTTTGTGGCTGTCTGAGTTTTGAGGGTTGTGCTTTTTCTTGCGGTAACTGAAATTTCAGAGCACACCTCTCACAGCAAAGGACACCCCCCAAATCCACCGGCTGCCCTTCACCCCTCTTTTCACCTAGTTTTGGCTTTGCCATGTTTCACCGCTTCTCCTCCTGCTCCCACCGAGCCACCAGTTGCCGCCTCTCATCATTGCAGGCTCATTAAAGGGTTTCAACATGATCTCACAAAGAAACATTTATTTATGCAAACCCATTTGGACAAGCCGGATGATCAGAGAGAGACCATTTTGGGGAGGAAGGTTGGACTTTGTCAAGATGCTACTGTGTGAAGAACCTCAAGCAAAGCTCGTATCAGCTGCCCCACACACCGAATACCAAACCCCAGATGTACGTCACAGCTCATCCCCCTCCCCTCATTCCCCTCTTGGCCCCGACTGTATCGTATTGCACAGAATCAGGAGCCTTTTTGTCTGGGATGGAAAGTTTAAGGGCAGAGACACCCAAGAGTTGTGTCTCATCCTCAGCTGCTCTTGGGATTCACTGTTCCTTCTCCGGGGTGCCGTGATTGCTGTGTTTAACTGATGAGTGTGATTTAGTTTCCGGCAGAGGTGGTATTTTGGGTGGATATGCCGCAGGAAAAGGGACTATTTGCATGTTAAACTTGGCATTATAAGTGCTCTATTAATTATTCAGCTGGAGACAGGTTTTTTGGGGCTGGATGGTGTGTTCAGTAGATTATTAACAGATTTCTGAAGCTCAAGAGTTGTGGGTTTTTAAAAAAATTACTATTATTTTAACGGTAAGCAAAAGCTAGATGCTCTTGGGCTGGGCACTTTGGTTGTGTGATCTCACAGGAGGGCTCTGGCTAGGACACAGCAAGCTAAAAAAAACCCCGTCAGCCCTGCGGAAATAAGCAGCAAATAGCAGATACTCTGCTTCCATCCCAAGTCACCACCCGTTGGCGGATGCCGTGTGCTCAGCTGGGCCAGGCAGCCACTGCATCCCTCGAGGGACAGCAAAATAAAAATAATAATAATAAAGATAAGTGGTGGGCGGGCGGGCAGCCTTTTGCATGTCTACCAGCAATCCTGTTACAAGCACTACAAACAAGCCGTACCGGCTGCTTTGCTTTGACTTCCTCGTTTGCAAAGCTGCCTAATTTTTCTGGCAAGCAGGCTCTAGCTCGGCTTTTGCTGTCTTTTGTTTTGAGCTGGTGGGAGATAAATGGTTATATGTGGAACAGGGTGTAAATGTTGTATTTTGGAGCAACTGAGCAGATCTGATGTATGGAGGCGGGGGTTTGCTGCTCTGTGCTCACGCTGGGAGCTAGGTGGGAAGAGCAATTTCTGAGTGCCAGGAAGCAAACCTGAGCTTATATCAATCCCCTGGGGTAATAGAGATGGCTTCAGGCTGGGATTTGGGTTTCAGAACTCACTTCTGCAGTGGTTTTGGCTTGGAGTGCTTTGTAATTGGGCTTAGGTAGCTCCCCTTGATGACGATGGGAGTTATCTGTATGCCTGCAAGGAGGAGATGGCAGAGGGATGTGTGCAGACCTGCTGAGTGATTCTTTCCAGATGCTATTATTTTGCATTTCAGAGAGCCAGGAAAGAGACGAAAATCTGTCTCACTTTACAATTTAATTTCTAATCAGAGATCTGCAAGCAAGCCGGAGAAAACAGGCTTAATAAACCAGAAAAAGCCTCTTTATTACAGCTGACCTGTTTGAAAGGAGAGCTGGAAATAGTGCAGAGCCTGGAGTCACCATATATCTACATGTCCCATTCCCAAGCCTGGGCAGGGGCGTCTTGTTTTAGGCTTTTCAGTCTTCAAAAGAAGACTTCTCTGTGGCTTTTGCATGCACAGAGCATCCCAAGATCGGTGAAATCGGCTCATGTTGCCTGATGCATGTCATGTGCATGGACATGGACCTGACCGAAACATCCCATCTCGCAGGTTGGCCTAGATCCTAAACGTGAAAAGAGCTTCGTCCCTGTTTCTGCCTCCACCGATAAAATAACTTGGCATATGGAGGGGAGAAAGGAAAACCCGGGTTTGGGCGTGTTGTACCCATTTACACAGAACCTTTTGGTTTTCCTGCATTGGTCTCCATCTGTTGAATGATCCCTTGACACCTTCCCATCAGCTTGGGCGTCCCAGGCAGGCTTGGCTGCAGTCGCTGGCACTATTTATAACGGGGTGGGGGAATTTTTCCCACTTTATTTCAAGAGATGGTTTTCTACAAGATGAACAAGAAGCATTTCAGGCTCTAAACCGTCAGCTTGAATTGAAGTCTCCGTGTACACCCTTGGGCTTATCCCACGTTTCAAGCTGAGCATTGCTTGTGAGAAGACAGTTGTCATTTCTCTGCGCATCTCATGATCGCAGCATCCTTGGGGAATAAAACATGGAGGACAAAAGGGCAGCGTGGTTATATATATACACACATATATATATTATTTTTTTCTAAATGCTGACTTCTGTAGGCTCACAATCTGACACAAACTCTTGTGTGTGGGGTGTATGGAGCAGATCTCTGCTTGCCTTATTCAGCTGTCTAGACCATTTTGAGATATTTGGTTTCATTTTAATTTTGAATTTGGGTTGGCAGCTGCGAGTAAATCAGAATTTGGCTCTGGTTTGTAGCACCTTCTTGTGTATTGGCAGCACAGCTCCTGTGGATTTGGTGGGAAAAGCTTCCTAGCCCAAGCCTTCAGTTAAAACCCTTGGCATTGCCCATCCCTTTGATCACTGTTGCCTGGGACTGGTGGTTTTTTGCAAAACCACATCGCCAGATGTGCTCGTGCCATTCCCCTTTCTCCATGCGGTAGGGTTGCAGAAGGCAGCGGAAAGGGAATGTGTCTTAAGGCGACAAGAATGGTGAGAAGTGGAAGTTTAAGCAGGAAGAAAGATAGTGTATTCCAGCATGTGCGTGAAGCATGTGGCAGTTTGTAACGCGTAGTTGCAGCAGCTGGGAAGAGCATGGAAGTGGCTGGAAGAGCTGCTCCTTACTGATGGCACTTGTCAGGATTTTGGGTAAAAAACATGATGATCATTCTTGTCAATCTGGTTTTGCAGCCATTTTGTTGCTCTTGGCTCCATCTATTTGCCCATTCATTTAATTTCTGCTGGAGTCATTGCTTAAATATATGTATTTTTATCTCCAAGAACCATCGTGGCTAGGGCTTTATTAATGACTGGATCTTCCAAGAGCCAGTTTGGAGGCTGAGGAGTTGAAAAGCTCCAAAAGTCATCTTGCTTTACTTCCAGAAACTGCTGTGTGCTCAGCAGGGTCTGATGTTCGGCTGCTTTAAAAGGAATGAGCAGTTTCCTTGCCCTGTGCAAATCTGACACGCATCCCTCCAGCATTTCTATCTTGCAGTGAATCCATTTTAGGAGTCTGATTTCTACACCAAAAGTGAGATATTGGACCAGCAGCAAAGAGCAATTGATACAACTTCCCCCAAATTGCCCCCAAACTTGTGGGTTTGTTCCCAACAAGCCAAGTTTGCCCACTTTGCATTTTATTTACCTTTTTTTCCCCCCTTTGAGCATATGTTCATACATTTGCTGACCAAAGGAGCCCTTGGTATGAACAGCCCCAGCAAAAATTATCCACCATAACAGGGCTAAAATATTAGCTATATCCGTGTACACATCGAAAACTTCTATGCAAAAGATGGGGATGAAAAGAAGAGAAGTTTTCCTGATTAAAACAAAATCCAGAAAGTGGAATTGAATCATTTCAACCCTTCTCTGAGTAAAAAAGTCTGAAAAATTCTTGTCTCCCTTCAAACCTTGTATGCAGGCAAAACTTTGTTTTTCTGACGGAATCCTATCATGCCCCTTTCTGTGCAGCTCTAGGTTGTAAAAAAACAATTCGTTGTAGTCAGTCTCTTCTTCTCCAGACCTCCACAGGTTTCCAAAATCTATCCAAGAGACATCACCTTGGGCTTTTTAGGAAATCACAGTGATTGCTTTTGGCACGTACAGTTGATTAGCAGCAACCAAAGTCTGGCTCCGTTCAGAAATCCTTTTTGAGAGCCCTGTTTTGATGAGCTGTGTTGTGGCGTGGCAACAGAAGACCATTGTGTAGAAGGATGTGGGTGCTGGAGATGAGCTGAGGCCGTGCAGAAATGCCTGGATCGGAGGTTGAAGCGCCAAGTGGCTGGTGGTGCCCCATGGATGTACAGGCTCCTGAAGTTGAAAACAGCACTTTTTTGCTGGAGTTTTGAATTGAGTACCCCTCTGGATATTTAAGTGGGAATGACAGGGAGAATGAAGTTAAAGGTGGGAGGAGGAAAGTGCAAGACTGGTTCATTTTCCTGTGGGGTGGGATGCACTGGGAGATCCCCACTGCCTTGCAAAGAGCAGGGAAGTGCCTGCCAATGTTGTACTTACAGTTTAGGAGAAAAACCCAGCTCTGTCCCACTTCTGCATCCTATCGACCCACCCGGCACGTGGTGGGTTGGACAGGCAGAGACCAAGGCGAAGGCCAGCCAAACCTTTGTATTCGGAGATGAACCGTGGTGAAGCACATGAAACTAATCCAAAGCTTTTGCTTTCAGGCTTGCCCAAGGATGGCGAGTGAACAGCACAGCAAGAGATGGTAAAACAGCATGGAGAAAAGCCGGCACATCGCAAACTGGGGTGATGATGCTGGGTGGATTGAGCGCTGGAGCATCCCAGTGAGGGGAAGGGGATGGTGGCACCCTTGTGAGAGGCTGACGGAGCCGGGGAGCCGCTTAGCTGAGCGTGTTGGAGTAGAAGCTGAAGCTTTCGGAGACTGTTTTGGAGTCGCTGCGGGAAGAACCGTTAGAGGTCATGTCTACGGAGAGGCGCTTGGCCTTGCTGCTCTCCTCCAGCTCCTCTTCAGCTGTGCCAACTGCCGAGGACACGGTGGTCTCTATGCGGCTGACCTTGTACATGCTGGTCTGTGTCTGCAGGTACCTGGCTGACTTCATTTCCAGGCCCTCGTACTCACCAGTGCTGACAAACGGGCACCACTGAAATGCGTGTTTGAACCCCACGCGAAACCTGAGGGGACAGAAGAGATGGGGAAAGGCAGGCATGAGGGACGTGCAGATGGCGAAAGGACCTCGCTAGGGGTGGGGAGACAGAGCTAAGCACTGCCAAACAACAACAACAAAATGCTACTTTTCACTAAGGGGAGGAAAAAACCTACTGATAAATTCCAGTTAGGAGCCAGGACTGTTTAGATACCTGCCCTCAAATCCCACAGGGACTTCAGGAGAGACTTATCGAGGTATTGTATTACCCCTGCATCTGCTGGAAGCAACCCCTGACAGACGATGGGACAGAACCATCCTGGAAAAACTCTCCATCCATACTCTCCTCCATCAGACCCCTCTGTATCTCCCCCTCCTCTGCTCCCTCTTACACCAAGATGCTGCCGAACGCCACTTGGAACCCACCTGTCGTTGAGGCAGCAGTAGATGATGGGGTTGTACATGGTGGAGCTCATGGCCAGCCACATGATAGCCAGGTAGACCTGCTGGATGAACTTCTGCAGGTACCACTCTGGGTTGAAATATTGAAGGGTGAAGTAGATGTGGTAGGGCAGCCAGCACAGCGCGAACGTGCATACCACGACGATCATCATCTTCACTACCTGTGAGGAGAAGAGAGGGTAGGGAAGCAAAGTCATCTGTCAGACACCCCACAGGTGGGTTGTCACCCTCCAGAAGGGGCCACCCTCTTTTTGCCTTGGAGACTTTTCCAACCGGGAACCCATGGTCAACATCTTAGTTAAACCATGCACATTCATGGAGGACACATATCTGGAGGACACTGTCTGCTCTATTAGCAACAACCATGCAACAAGTCCTGACCCGTTTCCATCCCTAATGAAGTATTTTTGGCTCCTGCTGTGCTCGGAGCTCCTTACCTTCCGCTTAGCTGAGACCTGCTCGTGGTAGCGGTCAGAGGAGTCGCCAGGTATCTCACTTGCCCAGAGGGTGATGCCAACCACAGTGTAGGCACATCCTATCACCAGAAGTGGCAAGAAGTAGATCAGGATGGTCATGCAGAAGTGATACCTAGGAAAAATGATGGTCATTGGGTTTGTCCTCTAACTATTTGGTCTTTTTCTTGCAAACTGAGCTTGAATACAAAGTGCTTCACAGGGGCAAAGAGAATTGGCACAATTCCTGCAGACACGTTGCCTGCAGAGCTCGGGCCAGGAAGGACTCCTTGCTTTCACCCCAATTTTTTCCAAGCCTCTGCTGTGAGCCTTTGGCATCCTGGAACCCTCCTAGGATGGGGTGTAGAGGCCAGTGAAGAACTTGTTCCCTTCATAGGGCAAGGATGTGTTAGCTGAAGTGGCTCTACTCTCACTTCTGCTCTATTTACACCCCAAATTATCATAAAGATGAATGTTTGCTCTCATCACACCTTTTATCTGGCAGTCCTGCAGGAGGAAGTGTGGTTTTTTGACATATAAAGGATGGGAATATTAAGCTGAAGAAATAAAGGCTTTCCCTGCAGAGCAAACACTGGGTCTTGGATGCAGCTTGCCTAAATCTTGGTCCACCATCGGTTTAGCTGGGCTCAGGTGGCACAAGGCATAACCCCAGTCCCCAAAAACACAACCTAAACCCTTGTTATCAAGGTTTATTAAAACTTTTCTGTGAATTCAGTGGATGGGACAGATCTCCAGGCTCCGTGGAAAGGGCAGGATCTTTATGTCTGTTTATAACGGGTATAAATAAGTCCAAAATCGAATGAGAGGGTCTGGATTAAACCGTTAGCACAGGCTTGAGACTGTTTTGTTGTGAAGTTGGTGGAGCAGTGGCAGGTTGGAATAGCTGCTGGGATTGCAGTGGGTTCAGTGAAGGATTCGTGTTAAATAGCTGGTTTAAAAAGGAAAAATATAATGCTGTTTCTAACAAACAAGATGGAGATGAATGGTTTGAGCTTGTAGGTTCCTTCCTACCATCAGAGCTGGCAAAAACCTCTCTCCCCTGCAGAAAGATCAGCAATAGTGGTACAGAAAGGCGGCTGGCTTGCAGAGCATCACGTGTGCCACTGGGTCCAGAGGTAATCTTCTTCCAACAGCTTTAAGGTCTTTGTATGCATTTTTGGGGTGCATGCCTGGCTCGAATGCAAGGTGCTGCATCTGTTCAAGGCAGTTCAGGCCTTGTAGCTACACTCTGCTCTTGCATTCATTCGTCCTCCGGGAGCTTTGATTGAATAATATCTCCAACGTGTAATAAATGGGTCAGGCTCGTGCCTGGTGCAACTCCCGCAGGGGATGGGGTTGGCCCGGACCTGTGCTGCCACGCCATCTCCTCCTTGTTTTATACCTGCAATCTCATTTGGCCTCCTCTTCTCCCAGTGCTAATTGTATTTGAGCTGGATTTTGTAGGGCTGTTTTCTATTTTGCTAATTAAAGAGGCGTCTCTGTGGCTCCATGATGAAGATTTCGTTGTCGTTCCCATGTAATGCAGGGTCTTAAGCCAGCTGCAAACAGCTGAGAGCGATGCAGCTATGTCCCAGAAGAGCTGTTAGATAAGTAAGCAAGATGGACCCTTATTTTCAGAGCCACCTGGGCTTGGTAAGGGACAGGGATTTCCAAAAAGCCCTGGGCCATTTTTTTTTGTACACTGGATGCTGAAAACCAGTCTCTGTGTGAAACCATCCCTATGTTATTCTGTCTACAAGGATTGCAGGATCAGAACACCTAGAGAAGCCTGGGTTTCGTAATCTAAAGGTCTTCAGGGTGAGGAGTTAGAGTCTTGTATAGCATGGAGGAGTTATAGGACAGTGAAGTTGGAGGAGGGGGCTGCCATCTCCTTTTGCCTTGCAAAGCCCAGATGGCCGCCGCAGGCTGTTATCTCCCAGAGAAGCTGGCAGGTGGAGTGGCTTTTCCCCTTCCCTTAACAAACCCAAATGGCTGCTAATGAAATTGGAATAGATTGGACCTCTATTTCCAAACCAAAAGCGGGAGAGGGAATCGCTGGTTAGTGGTGGCGAGCAGCCGCTGAATCGAATTGAGCTGAATCACTGGCTCCTGTTGCAGGTGCAGCATCTCGCCTGTGCTGAGGTCTTCATCCGCTTCCCTGCATATAAGCAGGCTGAGAACCGGTGCATATTCCCAGTGAAAAAACCTTCCGTGCACATCCCAGTCTCTGATACCCTCCGTATGCCGGGGTTGTGCTTTCCGGGCTGCACTTGCCAAGAGAAAGGACCCCCGGGTGTGGGGTGAAGTCCCCTATTTTCACTATGAACCAAAAAACTAATGTTATTTTTCATCACGGCATTGCAAACACGCCGGCTGCCGCCAGCACCTTCCTTAAATAACTGCACCAAGGCCATGCAAGCGGGGGGGATGTTTGACAGTGACCCAACCACCTGTCTCTGCAAAGTTATTTTGGGGCAGGAAAATAACATCTCGGGCTCCGCCGGGCTCTGCGCTGTGCAAGTGAGTTCGTGCAGTTTGGAAAGAGGCTGCTGAGCTGCAAGTTACTTTCAATCCCCACCAAATATTTGGGGTTTGGCTATTTAAAAACTTCTGCTTAGCATCTGCTTTCCCCGTTTTTCTGGCTGCCCTCATCTGTCTGCAGAGCTGAAGAGCACGGGATGCTCAGACTTTGAAATGATGCCTGGCTTCCAGTGGCAAATTATTCATAGGTTAATGGTTGCATTTTTCTCTTGAATTAGCTATTTGAAAAAGCGATGACTGCCGCATACAGCTGAACAGCAAATGATTTGTCAAAACCGGACCCTGAGCTTGCACCGGTTGCTGCTTTGGTCCAGGGGCATCCTGGCTGCATGGGCTGTCTAAGCCAGCGGCATTTCTTTGCGCTGCCTGTATTTATCATGTTGACCCAGAATAATTAAGGTTGGAAAACACCTCTGGAGATCCGCTGGGCCAGCCCCAGCATAGTTCTTGCCATACCTGCCTTGCTATGCAAAGAAATAAGATGATGATAAATGCTAACTGCTCAGCTCTCTGCAACCTGCTGCTCGCTGCTGGCTGGCAAACTCATCTCGTTTGTCTTGTGAAGACACCTTCGCCAGGCTCAGGTTGGCTTTAAACACCTCTCTGTGTGTGTGTGTGTGTCCGTCCGTCCGTCCTGCTTTGGCTCCAGCCCTAATTCATTGCTCCACAGGACTGGAGATCACAAACATCTTTTTTTCCCCTTCTTTTTTCTCAATGCAATGACATTTAACTCACCGCATGACTTGCGGACTTCAAAGAGTAAACCACAGAGCTCCACTGCGCTGGCAGACCAGCGAGGTTGCACGGAACCTCTAGAAATGCCAGATTTAATTAGCTGGCACCTTAATGGGAAGGAAAGAGATTCCTGAAAGCTGAGTTCTCCTAGCCCAGCATTTGCCTCCCAGTCCGAGCTGATGCCAGAGCCTCTTTTTGTTGCTTGGTTTTTAAGTAGTTGAGTGAATTTTGGGGCATTTGGACTCGGTAAATCCTAAACCATTTTTTTCTTTCAGTGCCTGACCAAGATACCCCCAGTAAAACCCTATTTACCTCCTGCAGGAATAACTCCCGCCCCAGGAAGCCTTTAGAGATATGGATTGCGGGAAAGGTTGCAAAAAACAGAGCCAGTTTTACATGAGTTTCCCTCCAGGATGAGCATCCAAGAAGGGCAGGGAGCATGGCATAGCATGGGGGAACGTTTGGACCGTGAGCAGCGCTAAACTCACCTTAATTAACCCTAATGTGCCCCAAGATGACATGGAATGGAGTTTTTGCTACTGTCAACAACATAGCACTGGCCCTCACTAGGGCAGGGCGAGGATTTCCCCATCCCAACAAGCTTTGAGCCATTCCCATCCATCCTCGCTTCCTTTTTTTATACTTCTTGTGTGTATGTGTGTGTTTTTTGTGTACAGTGACTTGTCCCCACTGCTGAAAAAATTCAACTCACGTTTTTCCGTACACATTGGTGTTATGCTCCGGCCACTCCACTAGACACACCAGCCGGCCTGGCAGCTCCTCCATCACCGAGTAGTAACCCTGGGGGAACGCCAGCAGGAAAGCCAGGAGCCAGATGATGCCAATGACCACCTTGGTGGCGGTGGCCGAGAGTCGGGGTTGCAGCGGGTGGATGATAGCCATGTACCTGCAAGGTGGGAAAAGGAGAAATCAAGGCTGGAAAAGCCCTGATGTTGCAACTTTTGGGGCTGTTTTAGATCTCCCTTGCATGGGGGTCGTACTTTTGACACCCCCTTAACGCATCCTGGCAGCCTCTCGCTCTGCACAACAGCACGGACTAATCCCTTTGGAGGATTCCCTGGCCAATGTTCTAATTCTCTTGGAGCATCTTACCCTTGAGGTTTGAATCCCGTTTGAGTCACTCATTGACTTTTAGCTGAAAAACAGCTTCGCTAACGCAACCGGCTGCTTCTGCAAAGACCAATTTGTACAAAGCCAACCGTGACGCTGCCGTCTGGCAGCAGCCGCTTTGGCAGCACTTGGTAGTTTTGCACTCGTGCAAAATCGTAGCTCTGTGGTAGATCCCAGAGCCAAGTGTTACAGGAGAAGAACCAAAAATAGGAGTGCTGGACAGGCGTGAGATGGGTGATCCGAGATGCCACCTCTATCTGCCCGGCTTGTGGGCTTTTTCCCCTGAACATCAGTCATCGTATGCGAGGAAAGCTCCGGTGGCAACAAGGCAGATTGAATTTATCCCTCTGCAAATCTGGTTTTGCAAAGCTGGCAGCAGCCAGCAGCACTGCAAGGATTAAGTGAGAACATCACACATTTTTTATTTCCCCCCTACTCCACACCAGGCTTTGGGAAGAGGAGAAACATTGCATCGCTCTGTGTGTGTTATTGCCCAAGGCATTCGCAGCCTCCTCTATTTCTCCTTTCATCCCTTCTCCTTCCAGAGGATGGACAGTATTTTCTTTTCATTTTTTCCTAGATGACAAATACGCCCTGTGTTGCATTTTTGGGTGGCCACTTGCAGGGGCAAAGACGTAGGGATTAATATATAAATATCTCTGCCCCAGGGTACCAAACCTTATCAGCTTTGTGCAGCTGAAAATCCACCTAATCCACCTGATAATTATCCCTTTAAAATCTCTGGCTGGTTGGTACCTGAAATCAGAGCTGGTTAGAAAGAGCGGGAGGTGTTAGTGATGCTCTGGCACAGTGGCTGGCAGTCCACAGAGGTCTGGTTTCTGCACCTATATTTCTCATTTTCCCCTTGTCAGACTGCAATTGGCTTCCTGGGACCCCGTGAGGACTCGTCTCCTTCCTCTTCTTCAGCCTTCAAATGCCTGGTGTTGGCTGAGCCCCTTGTTAGCGGGTTTGCTGAGCTGGGTGAGGTTTGGGTGGGCTTTATCATGGGGTTCAGACTGAGTTACTCTGGGTTTACGCTCCCAAGCGGCAAGAAGTCAACGTGTCTGAGTTTGCTGCTGTTGCTTGACCTGATGGTTCAAGCTCAAGCATGCAAATGGTGGAAAATGAGGGATTTCCACAAAAGTTGGGCCATTTCTGTTGAAATACTTGCCTGGAGAAACATCTGAGGCTGAGACCTCTGGAAAGCAAGAGGTAGTGGAAAGGAGATGGCAAAATTCATCCAACCACGCTGGCATCACAAGGACAGGGTCAGGGAGCAGGAGGGAGCAAGCTAGTGGTGCTTTGGGGAAAACTGGCCCAAAATCCTATTTTTTGGCAGCGATTCCCAATCCATTGGTCCCAAGCGACCTCTGAGGTATTCCCTTGGGGATGCTTTAGGTTCAGCTGCCCGTCAGGATTAAAAATGGGAATAATAACAGTTCTCCCAGACAGGGGCTCTGGCAGGGAAGAGAAAAATATAATAAAAAGGGTCTCAGCTGCTTGGAGGAGTTGGTGTTACAGACCGTGAAAGTGCTGGAGATAGATGGAAATGTACAAACATCCTGAAAAGAATTAGACTGTTATTTCATATTAAAATCTCATATAATTATATAATAATTGTGTCATCAAGCAGAAAATTTTCCTAACATTTTAATAAGTGCTTCTTTTTTTTTTTCCCCCTCTCCTTGACAAGAACATTTGACGCAAAATCAAACCGGGGAGAGGGGGAGAGCAGAGAATACGGTTTCGTGGCTGCCTTAGCT